CCATGGGGCTCTGGAGGGCCCTGAGGGCAAAGACAGCGCACAACCCTCTGTCCATGTCCCTGCTCTGCCTGTCACACACACACCGGCTGGGAAAAAAAAACCCTAGGAGACCCCTAGCCGCTGGGAAAGGTTTCGGGGCTGAGGCTCCTAGTCCAGCTTGTCCGGCACAACATGTTTACGAGACAGCGGAGAAGAGCCTGGCCCTGCTGCTCGGGGGCCAGCGCCCTCTCCCGGGAAGCTGCTCGGGAAGAAGAGTCCTCTCCTTGCAGGGCTCTTGTTTACTGTCCTGCTTTCCCCTCCTCCTCCTCCTGCAGGCTGCAGGACTTTTTTTTTTTTGGGAACCGGGATCAGCCTGTCCCTTCCCTCAGCTGCATGTTCCCGTGACCYGCATTGTCGTCAGCCTGCGGCGAGACAAAAACTTCATCAGGGAACTGGATAAGGCACAATGCCAGCAGGTGACACCTCCCAGGAGCGCATTTAAAGTGGCCTTCAAAGCCCTCGCTCCACGCGTGCATCCAGCCAGCAGAAGACAATGTGTCGGCACTCCAGGGGCGAGTCCCAACTGGCCCTTGCTTTCCTTTCCTCCTGCTATTCATTTGTGGGAACACCTCTGTTCACCCATCCGGACACTTCCCTCCAGCTCCGCTTATATCCTGCAGGAATTGCGAGGGCTGAAAAGCATCTGGTGAGCCGAGTGGGTCAGCGAGCCCTGGGTGCATGACCTGGAGACGCAGCCCGCCATAGCCCCAGCCAGCAAGATTTAGGAAATTAGCCTAATGCCCCAGCAAGAAGAGCAAAGCTCTCAATTAATAAGTTGCCCCGTCAACAGCCCAGCGCTAGAGCTCCCGAACGAGGCCGGCCGGGGAGCTCGCTGCATGGCAAACGGAACATCAGTGCGGCGCGGACTGACCTTGGGCAAGTGGCAGTGGCCGCCTGGTCTCCCCACGAGCGCCGCAGGAGGCTGACGAAACCCCCCAAGGCAGAGGGGCGATGCCAGCTCGCCCGATAAGCGAGCAAACATTGCAGGCTCCGCAGAGGGCCCATCGCGCGCTCCCTTTGAAGGCGCTGCCAGGGCCAAGGGTAGCTGAGCGCAGGTCACCGGAGGGCTTGCAAAGGCAGAGCGGGCTGGTGGTTACCTGCACTGGGGAGAGGGACAGTTTGGGAAAGCTAATTAAATACAAATGTTCAGATATGCATGCTAAAGGAAGGGTCCTCCGCAGCCACTCGGTTGCAATATGGGGAAATGCTGCCTTTAGGGGATTTAAAAGTGCAAGACCCAAGCCTCCAGGAAGGCCTTGAGAGGCCAGAAACCCTCCCTTTCCAGGCCTTTCTCTCCCCATCGGTGGCCTCATACCCATTGTGTGTTTGATGGCAAGTTGGTGGGGATCACTGTGCCCAGACGCCCATGTGTGCCTATAACAGAAAGGGACAGCCCTGCACACCTCGCTGTCCGCCCGTGCCACCCCATGGCCTTCCCATGAATGGGATGGCCCCTTTGCAGAGAGGACATGGGAGTAACCAGCTCAGAGCCCATCCCCAAGCAGCCCTGCAGCCCCAACCTACCTCTTGCAGGCTCTGCTGGGCATGCAGGAAGAGCTTTTGCAGAAGCAGCGAGTCCTCAGCAAGGAGAGCACGTGCTGTCCTTCAGAAGCGTCTGGGGAAGCTGGAAGATGAGAACAGCAGCCGAGATCGGGGATTTGAGACTGAGAAATTGGTTGGCCCTGATTGCTCTGAACAAGGGTGGAGAATATCCTAGGGACTGCTAAGCACATGCCTTTCCCTCACAGTTGGCAATTGGTCACGCTCTGCATTGGCAATTTTTTCCCCCTTTCTTATTAGTATTATTCATGCTGCTAAATATGATCCCAGCTAGGTCAGGGCCTTATTAACTGTGGCTGGCAGATTAACTTCAGCCTAAATACTCCTCGCAGCTTAGTATGGMAGGGTGCAGAAATAACGCCCTAACAAGTGGGCCCAGTGGTAGAATCAGAGTCTGGCAATTAACACAGGTAATTGCTACGTAATGCGAAGGGTCAGATGCTCATGGTAGCTGCCAGGCAAGGAAGATGCAGGAACTTTGAACAGGGTTACAGATACTTCTAGGGAAGTGTCCTTGCTGAGCCAAGCGAGTTTTACATGCCCAGTAAACCAAGCATTAAAATGACTCGAAGAAATCCTGTCATATTTAAGAAAGATATTGATAGGAAAAGCTAAAGTACAAACCTAAGGCCTTGTACAAGCACAGTTTAAGCTGCTGTCATCCCAGAAAGGCTCCTGCCCCTTTCCAGCACTACTCGTGTCATCACATACTCGTCACAGTCCTAGAGGTGTCTTGCACGAGAGCACCCTGGGGTGCATGAACCTCATGCCCAACCAACATCAGGTTTTACGGCCTGGCCGTTGCAGAGGAGTGCAACAGGCTAGTCCTGGCATAGGATGTACGGGAGGATGGCCAGTGGGACGTGAGGGCAGGCGCGAGCGTGGAGGACGTGCGGCTCCGTCATCGGGCGCTGCAGCCAGGCCCCTCTGACCTCACGTCTGGGCAGCCTTGGACTTCRCCTCCGCGGGGAGCAGCGCCAGGTTGTGTTGGGCAAGACTAAGAAGACCAGTTGTGTCCACCCCACAACCCCGCCAGCGTGAGGAGGGTCAGCAGCGAGGAAGCGCCTGTTGGCCAATGGAGTTGGCCCATGATGGTGGTGGCTCCATGGCCAATGCGGGTGGGCAGGGCCGCAAGCGGCAGGGCTGGTGGCTTGGGCTGTGTCAGAAGGGGAATGAAGCACGTGTGATGTGAGTGGTGTTGCAATGGTGTCCTTATCTGTGTGTACAAAGAGTCTGGCTGCTCCGAGCCCCTCTCCAAGCCACCTACTAAATCTGGTCTTTGCTCACATGCCCGTTTCCTTTTTTTTCAAATAGCCATCAACCTCTCAGAAGCTACAGCCATCTCTGGTGCCTCTGCTGAAAGCTGTCCCGGAGATAAGCCATGGCTAATAGAAAAAGCTAAAAATGCAGAAAGAACAGAAACAGGGAGCCAGGAAAGGAGAGGAGACAAAAGCCCTGGATGGCTTTTCCCAAGAGAGCCTGTCCTTGGGCCAGAGCTGGTCAAGGGCTAGCCTACAGCTCTATGAGAAGACAGTGCAAGCGCTGGGATGGCTGTGAAGGTGGCGGGCCCCAGGTCATGCTGGGCGGCCTCAGCTCCAGGAGAGGCTGTATGGAAATGGCCCTGCACATTTCCATGGCAACCACGTCCACCTTTCCTGGAGCACAACCTGCATCCACTCCCRGTGGAACCCCGCGCAGCTCCAGAGCCACATTGGACCTACACGGGTCTCTGAGGATCTCGTTCAGATTTATTCTGAATAATTCTTTAGCAGGTGTCCCTTTAGCAGGTGCCCCTGTATTCTGGGCTCCTCCAGAGGAGGACATCCCCGAGGAGAAGCTAGAGAGCCTGGCTGTCCTCATGGGCACAGGATGGACATATGCAGGCATATAAGGGCTCCTGACATCATCTCTGTGATTCATCCGCAAGACGTGCTGATGTCTACCAAGGGACAACTATAAAACCAGAGGCTGCACCTCATTTCTCACTCAGGAGGATGAGGCAGGATTATCCACCCTGGAAAGAAGCTGTCCCGGTATTAATTGTGCCTGTCGAGTCACTAACCCATCTGCTGCAACACCCAAAGCGAGACCAAGCGGGTTGCTGTGCAGACCCGTTTCTGGGGACAGCTTTGCATTCCTGATTTGACAGCGCCACCTCGTGAGGTGTCGCCGGCCCCTCGGCGCCGTGACAAGGTGCAGGGAGCATTTTCAGCGTGAGAGTCAGGACAGGGCCACGCAGGAGATACCCGTGATCTTAGAAGATCCTAAGGAACCACCGCACACAGCAGTTGAAATAGCCAGGGCGAGCTCACTGCAGGGATGGTGATTATAGTGACAGTAGTAGCTCSTGACGGTCACAAAACGAGGGTGCATTTTGTTAATGGCCAGACCTCCCCTCAAGGTGCCCCGAGGGCACCAGTGGTCCTGGAGTCAGGTGGCCACTCCAAGGCAAATGTCAGGGGCATCAGCCTTGCTGCACACAGCCTGGGTTGGGGCACCAACATCCGAGCACAGATAGAGCCCGACCTGCTCTGGTTTTATGCACAATCAAGGCAAGACGAGGACTGTTGGGGTCTCATCCTTTGCCTGCTTTTTCCAATGCTCTGGTTACAGGCTGGAGTCTGGTATCTCACCAGGCTCCTCCTGATTTGACTCTTTCTCCCCCCAACCCGGCCAAGTGCCACTTCTTCTCCACATAGACTTGAGTCCAGCTACTGCATCTAGAATTCACACGTTAGTCTGCAACACAGCGCTGGGGACAGCTCCTTGCTCACATGCCCTGCGTCTCTCCAGCTTGCTGCAGCATCACCGCCAGATCTGACACCACAGCATGACAAATCAGGAGAATCAAATATCCCCATGGGGAGCAGATTCCTTACTCAAGCGAGGAAAGAGGTCATCACTGATTGAAAGGGAAAGATGCTGTTCTTTTCCCCTCTTCCTGCTGGACTCCCTAAGGTTAGGGCTCTTGGTCCCAGACAAGCTGAATCAGGACAACCCAAGAGGGAACTAGGGTTTCTCTTGTCCAGGGCACACTGGACAAAAGTGTCTCCTGGGAAACTTTGGTCTTCACCTAAGCAAACACACTGACGCTAACTACACACCATCACAAGGTGTCACCAAGAACCTGATTTGAAGACACAGAAGGTTGCCCAAATCATTATGTGTTGAAGAAAAGCCATCATTTGGGACTGCCTAAGCATGCTAAGGTCTGGTAGTTAAAGAGATGAGACATTTAATTGAGRACCCACCGGAAGGACAGCCAAGCGTGCGCTGCGGAGAGGAAGGGACCAGGATGCTGTGCCTCCACGGAGCGTGGCAGCAGTGGGACAAGCATGTCACAAAGCAGAACTGCGCTCTAGAACATGCTCTCTGAAGGCCGGTCCCTTGGGCACAGCAACATGACAGCCACCGGTGAGTTACCTTTTCTGGACATTTTGACTTCTCCTAGCCCATCCCAGCAGGGAAAAGTCAAGTCCTAGGTTTGGAAAGCTACGTCCTGTCAATGACACAGCTGTGCTCTGTGCCTTCACCAAAATAGATATCTTCAAGGTTCAAGTCATCCTTCCACCAGTAGTCTGCAGCCTTGGCATGCCCATCAGCTCCCTTTCACCCCATCACTCAGTAATGAACCAAACTTCACAGGATAATGGGAAGTCTTGGGTACTACTAATATGGAAAGTCTTGGGTACTACTAATGCTGACTTTGGGATCCTGAGTAGACAGGTTGTCTTCAGCGAGTCACTGTCACTGTAACCAGAACCACAGCCTGCCTCCAGCCTAGTAATGTGTGGTGGTTTGTAGGAGCTTAGTGCCACTTGAAGAGGAGCTTTCAGGATATCAGCACACCAAGAGAGAGGGGCTAGAGTAGCTGCATCAAAGCACAGCAACCATTTCCTCCTCACGCTTGCTCCTGGGCTCTGGAGCACAGCTCCATCTCCTCCCAGCCACAGTGCCTTATTTATGCTGTCCCACTGATGTTTCTCCGAGAGAATGGCTTTACATTTTCTAAATAATCCTCTTGGGCACCCTCTGGCTTACAGTGGAGCAAAGCCTGGAGCTGAGGCAGTCTGAGCAAAAGCATTTCAGGGGCTGCCTCAGATCCAATTCCCTTGCATGCAGAGCACAAACCCACACCACGTGTCTTCTAAAGCTATTCCAGCCTCTCAAAACTGTTCTTCTCGTTCACATGTTTTGTCATGCCTGGCAACAGACCCCAGGTAATTTTCTCTTCCTCCCCTAGCAACCATAGCCTCTACGAACATGGGGGCTCTGCTGCAAGATGATGTGTTCGTCGACTTCTTCAACACATTTCTGAACCTCCCTGTAAGTTTCCTACTCACAATAAAGCCCAGGACCTTTCTGAACTTTTCTCAGGTAGATTTTCAGGCTTCCATGAAGAGGAAAGTTACAGGCCCCAGGAAATAAGGGAATACACCACTTTGAGGCTGGTAAACCAGAAGAATCAGAGACACTCAGCTTGCAAGAGGTAGCAGGGGTCTAAAAAGTCAAAAAGGGGAAGACGATGCCCTTTTCCTCACAGGGGACTAGCTAGAGCAGCTGGAATCTAGGCTCCCCTGGCAACCTTCATCTCTTTCAGTTCTTCTCTTTTCTTTTGGCACAGATTTTTGGCCAGACACCCATTTACATCAGCGGCACTGGCCAGTGGGACCTCTGGCCAGAGCTACCGAGCTACCTGGTGAGAAGATACCCGTTTTGCGGGGCAGGGATCCTGCGGGGAGAGAGGAGGGATGAGGAAGGAGGCAGGAGAGGGGAGAGGCAGCAATCCAGCCTCAYGGGCATGTGGCAGAAGCAACAGCTCTAACATGCCCATCTTTCTCCAGTGCAGGGGACGTCTTGCACTACTGTTTAGCAACAGGGCACCTTGCCTACCTGCTTCCCGCCGTGGCACGAGCCCATTACTCACCCCCCTAATCCTTGGGCAAGAGATGGCTCCTTTCTCACAGCCTCCTCTTCCTCCCCTCGGGGTGCCACGCAGGATCCCAGCCTTCCGGGCTTGCTGGCTTGGTTGGAGAAGCACCGGCTGCCTCACTTCTGCAGATCCAGCTTGTGCCTCCACTTCGTCCTCTGCCAGAAGCTCCTCGGTTTCGTTCGGTCGGAGGAGGCAGGTGAGTCATAGCGGCGCTGAGGAAATGGGAGCCACGGGGCGGCCGTGCTGCTCGGCGGGGCTGGAAGACTGTGGCCCTGCACATTTGCTGCAGTCCCCTCCAATCTCTTCATGAGTAGAACAGGATTTCAGCTCAAATTCAGCTCATCTTTTCAGTACTTGAAGTCCATACATGGTACTATCAGATGGTATTTACCGGTGGGAAGCTGGGTTTATGGCTTTTTCAGTTTGCTGGCAGGCAAGGTACCCACAGCTCCAGCGCTTCCCTGGATTGTGTCCCTCTTGTTAAGGTATGCCCAATGCTGGCAAAACACCCTGCTGACCTACCCTATGGGCTGTCCCACAAACAGAAACCCTGACTCATACTCAGAGACTTAGCCCTGAAAGTCCTTGCTGAAACTCAAGCATGGTTACATGCTTTGTATTGAGCTACAGTATTATGCAAAGGCTTAGACTCAGCAAGTCATTTCAGGAAAAGAAGAAATTTATCAAGGCCCAAAGGCTTGCTCCATTGCTTTTTCTGGATACATTGCTGCTGCTTCTTCAGCTGGATTTACCATGAGGATGAAGGTGTCTCAGAGGGAGTCCCAAGTGCAGACAAAACAGATGGAAATTTGCAAGGGGAAGAGGCAGGATGGAGTAGCTGGGCAAGTTATCACGGGCATGAGCAGGTCCCACTGTACCTTATAACCACAACCCTGTCCAAAACTGCCATTTCCACTTGTCTCCCTGGGCTCCTGGCTTATAGCACTGCTCCCTCCAGCAGTGGAGGCTGTGCTGGGGGCACCARAGAATGCTGGTGAGGCTGGAGGACTTGCCCAGGGGCTGTCCCCGTGTGCACCCGTGTGACACCGTGCTTTGCACTCTCTCTTCCACAGCAAAGCTGCTGAACTGGCAGAGCGCTGACCAGTGGCTGCTCGAAAAGTGCATCAGCGGGAGCCGGGGCATGTGGCGCTTCCGAGCCTTTGTCCAAGGACTGGCAGGTGGGCACGGGGCAGCTGCTGGTGGCCGCCCCAGCGGGACACAAGCACAGAGCTGGTGGGCTGGGTAAGCACTGGTGAGACGTGAGAAAATGCTACCTTGAACACTGCTCTGGAAGACAAACCAACAGCAGAGCTGCCACTCACGTACAGCAAGRCTGCCCTGGTTCTTCTCTGCATTGCTCCCTCAGCTTCCTTCCCTGTGCTTTAAAACACAGGATACTTTCCTAATCAGCAAGGCTTCCAGGCACTCCCTCTCACCACCTCACTCTGTCTTTCTGATCCACAGGGGAAGAGCTAACTAAATTCTGGCTCATGACTGAAAGGATCCTGGGGCTCGATAAGTCAAATGCRACACAGAGGAAGCTCTACCTGTCCTTGCTGCACGCGCTGAAGGCCACGCACCTGCGGGAAGGCTCCAAAGTTCTCACCCTCTGCAGGACACCCATCGGTAAGAAGCATCAGAGCCAGTGGTGAGCTGTGCCTTTCCAGTGGTTCTGACCTTATTCTGGCTGCTCCTAAGTTTCCTACAGCTCCCTTGCAGAAGTGAGGTGTCATCACCCATACAGCTTGGTTGGGGAGCTCCAGTGGCACGAACAGGTCTGGATGGGTCCATGCATGTTCCTCTGTGTCCATTTCAGTGCAGGAAAGMGCAGACTGGCGCACGCAGCCCACCAGCACCGGGAGGGAGACCCTGAGCAAGATGCAGACACTGGCCCTGCTTAAGATTCAGAATTACTGGCTCCCTAACTTCTTCATTCACTGCAAGCTGAGCATGGAGAAGGAGGAATCATGCTGGCCTCTTCTGCAGGAGTATCGGGAGCGATTACAGGCTGACTCACAGGAGCCCACTGGCTCTTTTAATGAACTGTTTATAATGCATATTAAAAAGAGCCAGGCTTCATCAGGACCCTACTGCAGCAAGAAGGCCAAAGAGGAGATCTGGACTCTCACCAAAGAAGAAAGAGGCACCCAGGAGGTGTTTTTGAGTCAAGAAATGAGTTTTGAGGAGCGATTACAAAGAAAGCCAGGGCCAGGCAGGAGTATGTTTGGATCAGACATGGAGAAATCATACCTGGATGAAGATACTCCAGAACTGATTTCTCAGCAGTCTGATCATGCTTCAAACACGACCTTTGGAGTCCACAGAGGAGAAATCTCTCCCAAAAGGTTTTGCCCCACTACAGAGTACTTCCTTCAACTGGAAGAGCTCGGTGAAGAGCAATTGCTCTCCAACATGTGTTTCTCTACCCCAGTTGTCCGGCTGCCATCCCTACTGGCCCTGAAAAGGCCGGTCAAGGCCTCTTCCTCCTTAAGCTTCCTTGCATGGACACTGAGTGCTGAAGCTTGTGCAGGACAGCCCTTCAGGGAGTTCCTGAAGCGCAGGAAACGGTCCGTGGAGGTCTGTCTCCTGGACCTGTGGCATGACCTCGAGGACTTCCTGTGTGTGGTGCTGGGTTGTAGTGGTGARGGTAGTTTCCTGCTGCGCCATTTGATAGGGGTGAGAATACGCAAGACTTACCTGGACAAAGGCTCCGTTCAGCCTCTTCCGCTGGAGATGAGGACCCTCAGGAACTTGCAGGACCGCCTGCCTTCTGGAGAGGTCACTCCCTGGATATTCAAAGCTCAGGAGGAGATTTGCAAGGTACAGAGTGGCAGTGCTCAGGTGGAGGTGTATCCCTGTTTTTCACCTCCCTGGGCGGGTGGGCAGCTCTGAAGAGCCCCGTTCYGCAGGAGGGAAATGGGGCTGCAGGAGCCCCATCTCAGCCTCATGCTGCACTCCTGATCACCCACCTTGCCTCCTCCTCCTCCTCCTCAGGTGCTCAAGTTCTTCTACGACGAATTTCTGGCTGAGGATGATGAGACATTCCTTCGGTTTATGGTAAAGGGGACATGGTGGGGGGCAGAGGGATTCCCAGGAACCACTGGAATCTCAAAAGGAGACGAGAGCCATGCAAGGGTAAACCTTTCCCAGCTCCCTGGAGCAACGTTCCTCCAACACAACTTCCGATAGCTCAGCAACCGCAGTCCCGTGTCACAGGATCATAACAGTCTTAGAAGCAGAACACTTCTGGGAAGAAACTCGGCCCCTTTTTCCCTTGGCTACAGTAAATACTGCTGTAAGTCTGACTCATGGACAGACGCACATGCGTACTGCCCRGTCCGAGAAGCAGTGCTGGAGGAACGAGGGCACACAGCGTTTTGGCCTGTGATTCCATCTCACTCAACTTTTCCACATGTTTTTTCCACATTGTAAAGGAGAGGTTTAAGGAAACAGTCACGCAAGTACTCATCTTCCAAACTACCTCCCTTCCCAGCACTAGAAATCCAGTTTCATGCTTCTTAACAACCCAGATGCTACCCTTGCACCACAAAACCTCCTCACATGCAGAAACCCCAGGGCATCCCACCCACTCAGGGCCCCTGAAGAACCTCCTAGGGCAGCTCTGCTCACTGCAGATACTATCTGCACACCAAACAAACAGCAGCRTTAGGCAGGGTCAGTGCCCAAAGACCTGGCTTAGGGAGAGATCTAGGCATCTCAATYAGTGAGAAATAAGCGCTTTCAGAAATGCCACTTTGCATCTGTCAGCTCCTGACCCCGCTTTGCTAAATTCCCCTGGCTGTAAGCTAATTAGCTGCCCAGGGTTTTAAGCATCCCTTAGCACGGAAATTGCTGCTCAGAGCACAGATCGGGTCTGGGAGTGCAATTAGCACTTCAGCAGGTGCTGAGGCCATGCTGCCTGCAGGGCACCTTGCCCTAGGCCAAGCTCATGGTGGGTTTCGCTGCTCTGATGGCAGTGGAACTGCTCAGGGGCTTAGCAGGGCTATTTTTGGTGCTTGCTCTCAGCAGCATGTAACTCGGTCAGAAAACGGTGGCTCTTACCTCGCTGCTTGGTGAGTCGTGCCAAGTGCTCACCAGTGGTGAAGGGCCAAAACCTGCAGGAGGGTCTCAGCAGCAGAGCCTGCCTGGAGCAAGGAAGGAGAGGGATCCCCCCAGGGCCAGAGCCCATTGCAGGGAAAGCAGCCAATTCAAAGGGCATAAGAGGCTACCACCTCAACTCTGCCTGCCTCTCTTAGCACTAGAGATCCCTGAAAAYGCTCAGGCTTGAGTTTTTTTTCTGTGATATAAAGGGCACCCAAAATACAGGTAGGCTATCAAGTGCAGTGCCAGAGTGGTTCCTCAGATGGGGTGCATCTCTGCGTAATCAGCCTCTGCTCTTCTTGCCATAGTCTCCACAGAACAGTTTCCTGATGCGCAAGACACAAGAACACACTGCTGGAAAAGATGGACATATCCTCCTAGTCAAGCGGATAAATGAATCCTTGAAGCTGAGCCAAGCACTGTATGGCATGAGGGACTTGGAAAATCTCTCCTCTGAGCACTGGCAACTAGTTGCCACTCAGGACCTCCGGAAAGGGGGCTCGATTCAGGTGGAACTGGAACCTCCAGTGTGCAGAATTGGTAAGAAGAGCATCTGAGCTCCCCCCATGTCTGCTGGGGCTGTGACTGACTCAGGCAGACAACGCATAAGTTCATGAAACAATATTAGCCAGTGTCACTAACATAGAAGTTTTGGTGCATGGCTGTTTTATTGGCAGTWAATGGGAAACATGGAGCAGTCTGGGACAGAGTATCTGGCAGCCATGAGCTGTAATCCAAGCTTTGGTAATGACCTGGGGACCGAGWTCTCCAGCATCAGAAGCAGTATATGGTGTCTCTGCACCAGTCCTGGTTAGTAGGTCAAATAAACTACAGCAAAGCGAATGAAASTCAAAGCCAGAAACATCCGTTGTCACCATTCGTCCACATCCTGACCTGCTCCAGGGACTCCTAGGGCTGACCACATTGCTGTAAAACTTCAGTTTTGTTTTCCCCATTATCTTCCTGACATCAAATTTCTGGATGTCTGCTAGTGCAGAGAGAGTGACTGCTGCCACCTGTAGCAACTTTTGGGTAATTTGTAGGGTCAGTTCTGGTCATATCTGAGAAATGCAGTGTTTTTAATAAATAATGGGAATAGGAAAGAGAAGGGGAAAAGAAAGGGTGAGCAGTAATTACAATATAGCACTCCGAGTAAGTGCTGATGGGCTTAGGCAGGAGGAATAAACATTGGCCCATCCCTTCTACTCTCCTTTATCTTATACAGATTTCCAGAAGATGACACTCGATGAGCTGGCTGTTAAGAATCCCTTGCTGGCTATGGATCTGCTAAGTGAGAATTACAAGCTTTTCTGCCTAAAATTTCCATCACTCGGTGAGTTGAGTCTTGGAAAGCTACAACCAGGATGGGCTCCTAATTGGAGCCTTTGGATGGGCTCAACTTGAAGGTATTCCAGCACACCCTCAGGAGAGAGGGACAAGSAGGGAAATTCCCCACTTGCATCCCATCTGTTGGTAGAATGTCTCCAGAAGGAGAGAGGTCCAGCCACTCTTGAAAGGCATGTCCTTCAAGATGTAAATCCAGCCAGAGAGGGTGGGAAGGGTAGGACTTTTCTGAAGCAGGCACTGAGGAAATCGAAAGAGAGGCAGAGAATTCCCACAGCATCCAGCATCTCCTGAGCTGGCTTCACCGTGCAGACATCAGCATGGTGGCTCTGAAGACAGCCTGGACTTTGGGGAGCCTCTTCCATGAGAACAGTTTTGTGCAATCTCTGGCGGTGATCTGAGGAGGTGGTCATYTGTTCTGTGCCAACAGCTTTTCACCTCAAACATGGAAAGAAGAGGATTTTTCCTGTGAGCAGAACCAAAGTAAATGCACCGAAGACCACTGTTGTCGTATTAGAGAAGCCAACTGTAAGACCCAGGTGTGGTATTTTGTAACACAGGTCTTTACTATTTTCTGTGAGTGCCTTTGCTAGTACCAGACAAGAACACACATGTCTGTCATGTTCAGGAGTATTTCACTGGAAAAACAGGCCTACAGGTCAGTCCTGGCTATTTCCCAGGGCACTGGCAGCACGGAGAGCATTTTCTCCCAGTGTATTCTCCCCTTTAGGCACTTCATGGAGGTACTGCGCAACCCTGCCCATTTGGAGTTCTTCAGGAGTTTCCTCAAGGAGAACAACACAGATGGACCACTGCGCTTCTGGCTGGCTGTGGAAAAGTTGGTCGCAGAGACCAACCCCCAGAAGCAGCGCATCCTCATTAAAAACACTGTCAAACTCTACTTCCATGCCAAAACCCCAGCTGGTATGCACCCTACCTCCTGTGCTTTACTCTGCTCATGCTGGGGTCCATTTTTCCCTGAACGGGATTCAGGTACCTGCCAATCCTCCCTTCCCTGTCCCATGGAGTACACGTTTGCCGAGACCTCCCACTGCCGCTTATATTTCTAGGAAGCCTGTCTAATTCTTCCAACAGTGTCTTTCAAGCAGTGCAAGCTGAAATTTCTGCAGTGGTAGRAATAGCTGCCTTGTCTCCTGTAAATGCTCTTTTAGATGCTTCACTCCTCCTGAAGTGTGCAATTAGCGTGGTGTAGAAAGGAGAAGGATGACACAGCCAAGTTCAGCAAAGAGCAGATAGAGCAGGCAGAGCCAGGGCAGGGTACTACTTGCAGACGTAAAAATAGGAAGACTTTTTTTTCTCGTGGCAGCATCAGGGAGGCTGTGACTACTCATCTCTTTCAGAGGAGCTGCTGGACTGCTATGCTTCTATCATCGGAGAAGTAAGGGAGGCCAAAGTAGTCAGCGCAGCCATGCTGATCACAGCACAGACCTTTGTCCAGAAAGCAATGGAAGAACGATGGTGAGCACCTGGCTTGGCCTGCCCAAGACAGGTTCCTAGATTGCCCTGGGACCAACAAACACATTCTTCCTATAGGACCCCCTAAGTGACAGGCAGTGAATGTTGCCTAGAACCATGTTAAGTGTCAGCCAGATCAGAGCCAGGTTCTCACACTACTGTACCTGCCATTGAAGCTGATGATGGATTTACCTGTTCAAGGGCAGCAGGTTTTGTCCCTTAAGGACCAACCTGGCCATTGTGTGTCAGGGTCCTGGGCTGGAGGAGGGGACATGCTACAGATAAGCAGGATGAATATTTCCAAACATGCTGCCTGCAATAGCAGCGGTTAAAGGAAGGAACCCAATCCCAAGCCTCCTCCATGAGCAGAAATCCTGGGGCACCTCAAACCACATAAGTCTGGAGATTCGGCCGTTCCCTGCCATAGCTGCCCTTTCACCAACTTCCAAAGTCGCTGTCCCGCTGGTGTTTCTGGCTGCTGTTCACGTTTTCTCTGATCCCCTATCTGGCAGGTTTATGGACTACCAGGACCTCTTCCCCCCAGACAATACCCACGAGTCTCATGTTCCTTTGCGGCATGGGATGAGGAACTTCAAGAGACACGAGCTGGTAAGGAAAGACTCTCTCCCGGAAGGCTGGGGCTATTGTCCAGGCAGGAAAGATGATGTTGTCAATCAAGTGTCAGTCACTTAAATGGAGGGTGTGTGGAGAATCTCTTAGACACCTGGAGGGTTGCAAAAAGACAGATAATGTTTAGTCCTGTGAGCTCTGGTGTAGGACTGGAGTGCTGCTAAGCACAAAAGTGACTAGATTCCTTCAAGACTTGCCAATTGATTCACAATATCTGCTGTGAAACTCAAGAATCCGGAAGCCCTGAGGGAAACCCAGCAATACCAAAACACAAAGCTGGTGGCTGGGTTACAAATCCCCCTCACAGGACTGACCTCTGGTGTTGGAGTTCATGGGAGCAAGTCTGAGAAGGAAGGGCTTTACCATAGTCCCCCTCTCCCTGGGAGCAGGCTGCATCTCCACCGATCGTGCCCCAGCTCTGCAGGGCCTGGGCTCTGGTTTGGGCTCATGCAGGCTGTGTGCATCTCCACAGAGGAAGGCCTGGGAAGCCATTCGCAGCTGCGTCAAGAGCATCTGCAAGTTCCGGAGGGATATAAAAAATGACAGAATCCGTGAGGAATTTGAGGACTTTCTCCGGAAGGAAGTACGAAATCGGAAGGAAAGTATGTCTAGACTCCTGCCACCCCACTCTGCTCCTTCCCCAAGGCAGCCCTGAGCTTAGGAAAGGTAAACAGAGGAAGCCCATCACTCATCTCTCCTCCCCATGTCCTCTGCTGGTGGCATATAGAGAAACAGAAAAGCAGGTGTCTCGGAGAGACTGATATTGTTGTGCAGGAATCTGCTCCAAGTGAGCAGAGAATGCAAAAGAGGGTGCAGAAGAGGTACAAAATGGGGTTTTCTCTCATAGGTGAGTAGTTCTGCAGGTGGGTGTTTAGGCTGACCCTGTGCTAGCATCCAACGCTAGCTTAGAAAAGAAGTGGCCAACCTCTTCTAGGCACTCCAGGGACACCAATGCTTTGGCACAGGAGTCGGGAGATGTCACCCAGAATTTCTCACATCACACGTATACACATTCATGCACTGCAGCTGCTTTCTGGTGCTAGAGCCAGTCCTCCTGCCCCTCATTTCCCTAAGTCCGTGCAATCCTCGCACATCGCACATCCCTTGCACATCACACTGTACTACATGTGCAGCAATTTGCATCCCTTCCCCAAGAACTAGGACTCTCTAAGTGAAGCTACAGTGAGACAGGCTTCAAATAAATGAAAGGAGATAGCTGGCCTATGAGTAATTTGCAAAAGAATATAGATCCCAAAATGTTATGCAGGTTTAAGAGAAGACTGGAAAAGCTGGTATAAGAGAAATCTATTAAAGCTGCTAGATAAACAGAAACCCCAACTATCTCAAGAATATAGGTATAAAACTTTTGGGAATCAGAGGGTATTGTATATGGAAGAAGTAACAGATATCTTCCCTTTCCATTTCCCAAGTTATCTGCTTGTGGCCTCTGTTGGAGGCAGGATATAGTCTATCCAATACCCTAGGCAGACTTTGTGTATCTATTGTGGTCATCCTCCTTGAAAACAGGGAACATAGAGCACCTCAGCGGGTGTGAAGTCCTCCTAGGTAGAGATAGCCTCAAGAAATTATTTGCAAGTAGAAAAAGCAAGCACAAATGGGATGAGAAAATAAATCAGTATTCCTCAGAATCAAATGCCCAGTTGACTTCAAACCCTGTGCTGGACGAAGCAGGACAGCAGCTCTTCTCCCCTCTCAGACTTGCCCATCAATGGGACGCAGAACAGCAGCACCACGGGCAATTGCTGCTTGCACCCGACCTCTGCCAACATCCCAGAGGACAAGGACATGATACTAGTRAAACGTCGTCTCTTTAAGAACCGTCTCATTACTGTCAACTTCCTCGTCAATGACCTCCACTTCTATCTGGAGATTGACAAGTAAGTCCTTCTTAACAAGAAGATAAACCTTCTGCTGGTTTATCAGGCGCTACCAAGTCTCCCTTGGCTCAGGAACCCAAACCTGTCCTTCAGGTAGTGCCTGTCCCATGGCAGGAGATAAAGCCCAGATCAGTGATTCATTAGCACACACTAAGGTCTGCACTGCCACACCTATACCCCTATTAGCACCTCTGTGCAAGGCTTGTATCTGAATATCACCCTGCAGCATAAGAAATGATCAAAATCTCAYCCTCCTAGGTATCTATATCTAACTTGCTTGAGTTCACCTGCCCTATAGCCCTGAAGAGACCTCTAGTTCAACCAGAAAGACTTTCTGTTTGTGTATCTTAACAGCATCTCTAATTTAACAGGCCCAAGCAATCTAATGTCTTACTTAAGCCTTTCTTGACGTGYGGATTTTGGCATTTCTCCTTTGACCACTTCTGGTCCTGTGGCAAGCTTTTACAAGCAAGCTGTGGCCAATGCACAAGAGTTTAGCAGTTTTTGCACTCAGCTATGAGCATGAGATTGGATTTGAATTCTCTTCCCTTCCTGAAGATGAGCAAACATTACATCCCATAGGCAAATGCTATGCCTGGGAGGGTGATAGAAGAGGGAAGTGGTTTTCATCCCCCCTGTTGAACTGTCCCACATTTCATGAATTGCTTTTTTCTGAACCAGTAAACACTGAACTAAGCAAGCTCACCACTCTAACCTAGCAGTAAGAGCATTTTTTCACAGGTTTTTCAAGCTGGCTGATGCAGCTAAAGCTATAGCAGACTGCAGCAAGCACCAAAATCAGGCAGTTGCCTTTCTCAAAAATAAAGTCACCATCATCAGCAATGTTTTCCTGGACTCCGACATTCCGCCTAAACTGCGGGTAAGAAGCTGGGACCCACCCAGGAAATCTGGAGGCTGCTCTCTGTTCATTGCTCAAAAACATTGCAGAGCAGCTGCCAGCAGACGTGGGGAAAGAGGAACTGGGCAGAGGTTTGAATCTGCCCTAGTCACACATACTCTGAAGATTCAGGACGTGCTCTAAGGACTAGAGATTTCTGCCTGGACTCTATGGGAAGGGAACTCATCCACCTCAAGACCCGCTCTGACACTTAATGCAGACTAAGTCAGAGCAAATGTATGGGTGCAGAAAGAGCAAGTTCACCTCCTTGCAAGAGAGCAGCCAGAGCTAAGCCAGAGCAGGGCAAGTCCTGCACTACAATTCATTCCTTTTGATCCACAGATGAACCATGATCCTCTTCCCCTTCCCCACTGCAGCCACCACTTACCACAGTGCATGCCATGGTATAGCCATGGCTCTGCCAAGTTTCCTTTGGAAAGGGCAGCACAGGATGAGCCCTTTTATTCGGGAAAATCAGCATATCAGGTCTCCTCTTAGACACTCCTGAAATGCAATGCAGTCAGGAAGAACAACCTACATCTGGGGTCCCGGGGGTGCCATAAACTGCTTTGGTTAAGTGAGGTCTGTTCCATGCCCAGGTGAACATTTCCGAAGCACAGAAAGAGTTAATCTGGAGTTTATCTTCCAAGGAGATACTGGACCGCAACCTGTACTATGGAGCTGCAGTTGTCATCTTCCCCATCCTGATGCACTTCTGGAAAAGGTACCTCTCCCACCTTATAGAAGTGGCAGGGGTTGTGGGAGTGCCAGCCTCTCCGTCTGGCGGCATATTCGGACACAATGTAGGTGCAGATCAGATGCTYGTGAGGAGCTCAGCTGTAGGTGTCTGCTTAGAGTTTTGCTGGCGTTGACTTTAGTATTTCTTACGCAGGTTCTGCATCAGGAAGGCAATGAAAGGCTTTCGGGTCTCCCAGAAAAAAAGAACACCAAGCTCTTCGCCCATTAAAAAAACCTTCCCCAAATCATCTGTCATCCAGAGTACAGGTAACCTGAGTGCCCATTCCCCCTACACCGCATTTGTGTTCTCAGTCTTGGCCTTCCAAAGCAGAGCTTTCCAGGCCTAAGTTTCTGGAGTCCCACAAAAGTTATTGGAATCCAAACTCCACAAAAACTCYAGCTGTGGATCCCCTTATAAGAGCTAAACTCTTTCCAGTGCTGGAAGCAGCTTTATTTCTTCGTTTGTGCTTGGTGTTTCTTTCATGCAGCAGAAACTGCTTGTAGGAGATAGTCTTGATGAGCCAGCTGTTGTTCTAGTACTCCTGTCTAGGGACTGTTTCCACAAAGAAAGGAAATGGGGGGAAGCAGTTCACAGAGAAGAGCCACATAAGCCATTGAGTTGGAATATACCTGAGCTTACCTTCCCCAGTTTGGTCTGTTAGGAATTTTCACTGAAATCCTCTAAACACACCCCCTAACAYGACTTTGGCCAACTGTCTGACCAAGCAACATGACATGTGCTCTGCAGCCTCACACAGCTTTGAGATTATATGTGGTACAGGTCTGGTGGAGAACGGAGCATCTTTGGAAACATTCCATCCTGCCAAAGGCAGGCAAAAATTGCCCAATAGGTTCAGATATTTCCTTGGAGATTGGGGAAGTGAGTGCGCAGAATTCATGAGCAAAGAACAATTGCATAACCCTTGTTTACTTTAAAAATCAAGTTAAAAATACTCATGCTCTAAACCAGAAATGTAGCCAAGCAATATTTCGGATTGTGAATTAGATGGATCAGAAAAAGAAGAGGCTAGTCAGAATGGGGAATGTCAGGCTTAGCAGCATTACTTCAGGGATGCTTCGAGCAGCTAGAAGGAGAAGAGGTTTCTTTAGATTTGAAGTGACTTTAGATTTGAAGTGACTTTAGATTTGAAGTGACTGCTCACTAGAGAGTAAATTGGCAGATCCTACATGTACTGGTTAGAAGAGACGCTAATATCTGAAGAAAAAGAATTTTCCTCTCCTTATCCGGTTGTTTACTTTCAACATACTAAGGAATGTTAAGTTGGAGAAAAAAAAAGTACGAAGAAAGTGGTATTAAGTGCTATCATTCTACCTAATATCTTGTATTCTTAATTAGTTTCTTCTGGACTAMTACGCAGAAAGGCGTGTGTAATCTCTCAGATCTCTTATTTCTGCTGCGGGAGTTGCACGCCTACCCCAATTCAGCATCTCTATTTCCACCAGAAGCAAACCCAATCGACAAGCAATCCAAAAAATAACTGTTGCTTCTGACTGCACTGATGCATGCACCACTATTCGCTTGGAAAATTTTCCTGGACAAAAAAGCTTTATCTAAGAATCTTACTTTTCATCTAGGCAAAATTGGTTATGTTACTATRCTGTCTTTGTAAGGCATTAAAAATGCTGGAGAAAATATCTATCAGCTCCAGAAAAGACATCTTATTGCCCATATCTTGCTTTTGTCTTATGCTGGAGGCTGGTTCTTTGTACAGAGCTGGCCATGGCCCTGCTCTTCTTGCCTGGGAGAGCGGTCCCCACAGAGTTAACTGGATGCCACACTGGACTTCATCTTCCAGCTGGTCGCCAGGTGTCACTGTGGCACCATTTGTGGCCTTATGATGCTAAGCGGAGTGACTGCTCACTGCTGAGATTGGATGCATCACCCAAATCCCGCATTTAACRCATATGGGCCCAGTGCTGCTCATGGGAGAAGCCATCCCAAAGGGCACAAAACTGTGCAGGGCTGGAAACACATCCATGCATGTGAGGCAGCTGGGTACACACGTGTCCTCATCTCTCCAAATACCATTTAATTCCATAGGGAGAACTCACCCCATGCCCTCTGCCTCGTCCAAGGGAGTTGAAGGCGTCGTTGCTTTGGAGAGCAGAGCATGGGAGCGGGTACTCTGGGACCATCTCCTTACTGACCTTACTGTTCCGCTGCTTCTCCTCACCAGACAACTGCCCCATCATCCAGTTCACGCTGCTGCACGGGATCCAGGTCCTGCTGCCAAAGGCTCAGAAGAAAAAGAAGCTGCCCAAGAAGCAGAAGGGTGGGTAGCTGCAGAAACCAGAATCTCCTGCTCTAGTCCTGCTCTAGGGAAGGGAGCTGGGCTTTCACAGTTCCCTTCCTTCACTCTGTGTTGGGAAGTTTGCACCTTTTGTTCTTCTCAGCTTCAAATTAAAGTCTCCAGAAATGCCTGGCATGTCTGCATCTCCTCTCCTGCAACACAGACAGATAACTGCAAGCGCAGCTCACATGGCCACAAGCACTGGGAGGCAGAGGAACAGTGATTCTCCTCTAAAAATATAACACAATTGGATGGGTCTGTGCAGGATGCTGGCCAGCCCCCACAATGTACAACCAAGGATATAACTAAAGACATCTCTGCCCTRCTGCCCTCTTGAGCTTGTACCATGGGTGACACCAAATCCAGTCAGTGAAGTGGTTGATAGGAGGAAACAAGGGGAGAAAAAAAAATAATCCGACATTGCATCCTGACTTCTAAAAACTGGTGCCAATAACCCASCACTTCTGTTCACAGGAGATGAGAGGATGGTGATGTACATGATTAGTCAAAGGACTAGGGCCCTCAATACCAACACACATCTAGGGAAGCTTCAGTAGTTCATATTGCATCTGCTTAGCTCTGAGCAGCCCAGAGGAAGGTGTTTGCTAAAAAAGAATGTCTCTCAGGCATGGAAAAGCTCAAAGGGTCTAGAGAAACATATGGAAACCAGCTATGGACTGAAGTCAGTCAGGATRCACTGAAGCTCATCCTTGCACCTGAGAAATGGCCATGTCCGCAGCAACACTGCCATTGCATGAGTATTTTCCTCAGTAACACACCTGAGAAATCCTCTGCTACCACAACCCTCTGTGCCTCAAAACCATATTCCAGGAGCATGTCTCTGTGCTGCTTGTCCCTGGGCCAGACCTTTGTACCCTCGCTGCTCCTTTAGATAAAGTCTGTGCACAGCATAGCTTGGCAATGGCAAGGGTTAAGTGTGCTAGAGCAGCTCCAGCGCCGCCAGAGACCCCAGTGCAGATGAGAYGAAAGGAGCTCACACCAGTCTCAGCTCATCACCCGCCACAGACTTGCTACAGAAGCCAAGTATCTGCTGCAGGTGGGAAGGCTGGGAGGGTCCCCTTGCACCTATTTACTGCTGAGGTGTCCTGAGGGAAGCCAAACCATGGCAGTCTTGTCACAGCCTCCAAGAGACCAGTCAAAATGCCTGATTTGAGGGCTCTGGCATGTTTTAAAATCTGTATTCACTAACCACATCATACCACACATCATCGTTTTCCTGTGTGCAATGGAGGCAGACTGGCTTTGCCAAGCCACCAGGAAGCTGCAGAAACCCAAAGTGCCCTTGGGACCTCATCTGAAAGGGAGGGCTCTGCCCTTCCTTGTAACTATCTCTAATCACTCCTTCACTTGGAAACTTTCCCGTTTGTAACTTAAGCTGTTTACCTGCTTCCAAATCCTAGAAGACGTCCTACAAGGACATCGGGTGCCTTTGAATCAGAAAAAGAAAAAAGATTTAATGTTCCTTATTTGCATACTAATAATATYTTTCTTCTGGAGGATCAAAAATCCCAACTTTTTTTTTAKAGTATTTTTTTTTCCTCTGTGAACAAAGAGACTGCATCATGAAAACCTCCCCAGAAATTATTTCTAGCACCCTGGTTGTCCCAGAGAGACAAATAGCCTCCATGAATTTAATCATTCCCCAATTTAGGGTTTCTCTAACATCCTAAAACCTTACTCTATGGGCTTTCTCTGCCTTCAGGAAGCACTTTCTGCAACCTTTCCAGGCTGCCGTGTCACAAGCCTTTAGTTAAGCAGCAGAGATACAAGATGATGCAAAGGTCGAAGCAAACAGGAACATGACATTTGACCAAAGGGTGAATAAGCCCAGCCTAAAGCCTCACCTCTCCTCAAGGGAGGGCAGAAGCAGCACTGCTCACATCTGCTACTGCAGCACTCGCCCTGAAAGAAACAGGGCAGCAGGGAAAGGGAAAATATAAATAGCAATAAGCAAGAGGAGGAAAGAGTCAGATGGTGAAGCTGGGATATTTTACAGCCTGTTTTCCCCTGCAGTGTTATCATTCTGCTGGATGTGCTTTCTCTGACAACACCTCACCTACAATCTAAACAAGTTTTTGTTGCATTTTGCATATTGATGTGCAAACTGGCTTCCCCTTCCCCAAATCCTTCTGAACACCTTTCTCCACCCCTTCAAACCTCCTATCAGCCAGAAGCAACTCAGCAGTAACAAGACTATCCACTACCTTGCTTAAACAACCAAGAGGCACCTCCACAGCAAGGCCAGAAATCCCAGGCTCTTGGGTATTTCACACTGCTGCAAGACACTGACTTTTTCTATACAGAGGGAATGGGAAACCTCTTCAGTGTATTGAGTCAATTTTCCAGAAAAGTTTATTCCAAATTCAGTTCTATAATGGAGTAAGTTTACAATTCCATTAAAAAAAAATCCAGTCAAGTCTTGAAAAAAAATTCCATAAATGACATACAATCACTGTGCAACTCGGAGTGAAAAAAAGGTAGCTGTAAGCTGAGAAACAAACCCAAGGATAAATGGGTCCATGCATTGAATGTCAAAAGATTCTAGCTACATATCAAAAATAGGTCTGTATCATCCAGTTTCCAATATTAAAACACTAAGCTGAGTAACTATGAATGTTGTACAGGCACCAGCTCTGCCAGTGACTGAGGACAGTGATMCCCCTACACCCATGTTTTGGGGATAGCTAATTTTCATGTATAGCCCTGCCTTGTAGACCCTACCATGTGAAGACCCTGTGCTGAGCTTATCCTGTACAGAAGGAAGGAGCCCTTTCTGGGATCTTCTCCTGCCTCCAATTTATATATGGATGAGGGCTCTGTCCCTCATGTGCCTCCTCTCCATAAGAACCAGGGCCTTTATCTCCACCTCAGAGGCAGATAAACCTCAAGTGATAGAGACAAGGAGGATCTGGGCTGAGTTCCTCGGCTCAGTTCCTTTCCAAAGTCTATAGTTATTACACTAAATATTTTTTAAAAAGAGATGCTTCAGTAGCATAAGCTCCCATCCTCCGTCCGTCCTTACACTCCTTCCATGCCCATACCTGCTTCAACTCTTCCACAGCTGAAGAAACAAGGAGTAAAAGGAGACAGAGATGATTGGATCGGCTAAGGTACATGAGGCAACAACACATATTACAGTAGAGAATGGTCCTGAATATTTGCAAGGTGACGGAATTCAGAATGCTTGCGTAAGTAGTTGTAGACATCAATGGTCAGTGCTGGAAAAAGCTTCGAGAAATAGTCAACATGATCCCCTATTATTTCGCTGATCCTGAAATGGAACAGAAACAAAATGGATTTTTAAAGCTTATCCAAAAGGGAAAGTTCAAGAATGTCCTAGTTCCTTTCAGAAGAGGAAAGCTGCTCCAGGGCCTTTCTGCAACATGGRAATGTTTTCAGAAACCCATGAGTTGCATCTTTGCTATGCCTTCCTGAGCTCTGCTCTTCCCACAGCTCCATCTGCATCTTCACTGAACAGTCATGGTGGTTGCCAGCCTTGGTGGAAGTCACCTCCAATTGGCAATACTGTGCCACTTTTGCCACTCCTATGTGGTTAGAGATAGTCTAYCTTGCATGAAAGCCCCCACGACTATAAGGTTGCAAGCAAAGGAGAATCAGGCAGCAATTTGGAAGTCTAGTCCTACCCAAATGGTGAGAATAAGAATTTTGATCTCTTAACAGGACCGGTGCTTCCTGATCTGTATCTCGAAGCACCCCAGTACACAGAAGCTCTTTGAAAATAACAGCAAGGTATACAAGGAGGCCTCAACATAAGCAATAGCACAAATATCCAAAAGTGATCTAGAAGCCTTCCTGGAGCTGTGGCAGAAAACACCAGCCTGCAACAAGAACTGTAGCCCAGGAGGGAAATATTCGCAGCACTGCTGTAGAGTTAAAACCTGGCATTAGCTGTCAGACAGCTCTCCACACCACAGGGAGATTCCTCTGGAAAGGCAAGAGCACAGAAATGAAGCCCTCACCAACTCCCTGGACATTAATGTTCTGCTTAAAGGCTGTGTAACTATAAGTGATAATCTGGGAACCAGGTTTTGCTTCAAGAAGTCTAATCTTGTGGGGTTTGAGGACTTTTTTTATGCTCTCTTCTAGAAAAGGAAAAACCACCTTTTGAACAAGGTTTTACTGTCAAATTTGGTGACACTCACATATACAGATGTCCCCAGAACATAGCTATGGCAGGGACAGGAAAGTGAATGTTCACCTTTCTTTTGGGTGCTCATCCAGGTTTCTGATGAACCTCAGCAGATTTTTGATTCCATTATAATAAATGAATGTTCTATCTTCAGGATGTTGCATGATTTCCAGGACCTCTGCATCAATCTGTAACAAAAATTGCAGATTATTCTCTACCTTTCAAATATCATGAAAATAGCTCATCATCTTTCACTCACCGCAGCTGCTCTCTATGAAGAGACCAGCTTTCATAGAGCTTGTGACTTTCAAACGTTTACCAACATGAACAGAAGAGTGCTTTGCAGGACATTTGCCATAAAGACTACTAGTTCCAAGAAATTCTTTTTCCCTTGGTTTGCCATTCATAGTAGATGATAGAAGATTTGACATTCATATTAAGACTGTCCTCATAGTACAGTAAATTAACACGTCTGGAAGGCAAACAGGATACAGGAGACTTGGTCCAACTGCTTTAGTGTTTAGAAAGGGCCATGAAAGCTGTGATACTGCCCCAAGATCAAGACATCAGCATGAAGGCTTATTATTCCAGGATGATCTCACCGTTTGAAGGTTTCCAGTTCATCCACCTCCTGGCAAGGTGGATGCAGTTGTACTTGCATAAGAGTGCACATGCATAAGCACTGTCACTTATTTTGATAGGAGGAATCACATAGCTAATGCAGACTTTGCACTTTTATATTCATTGGTGGCATCCGCGTCTCTACCTTGTAGACCATGTCAGCCAAGAGTACTGCTAATATGACCAAGGCCCTCTGGCACTTGTCCTTCAAGGCAATGTGGTCATAGGTGCTACCTATGTGCTCTCTTCATCCTCTCCYTTGTGCTGCTGCTCAGTGCTGTTTTGCGGACAGTTGTGAGGGTGACAAGACCATCTCTCCTGCGCTCCATGCTCTCCTCCCAACACGAACAGCAAGGACCTTTGGTGCCTTGGCCACGCGGGAGGGCTGCTGCACTTCAGAATTATGTCTACCAAGCATTTTAGGAAATTGCTTCACTGCTGTCAATGGAAGTCCCCTTGACACCACTCTGAAGAGATTGATGCTGTTTTGCTTACATGACTTAGACTTGTTTTCCCCAATTATCTGTATACACACAGAGCTCCTCTATCCAGATATGTTTTTTAGAAAGAGCTTGTGAAATACTTTGTACCCTATGCCATAATCCCCATAAAAACACAAAGACAAAAGATTACCTTCCTAGTCCACCGCCAGTAATCAGMGCATTTAGGAGTTTTCAAGTCCTTAAAAATATTCTCATAGTAGGGGGAATCTTTGATTTTTTTCCATAAATCCTTCAGGAAATTGAACCTGCTGTAGAACCAGAAGCTTCATTAGCTGCAACAGAACATCATTTCCACAGTTACAGGCAAATTTTCCTTTCCAAACTTTTCCTTTGCACTCCCAGGACTTACATCTGTTTGCTCCAGAAAAAGGGATGTTTAATAAAATTTTCCAAGCCTCGTTCATCATGCAATGCCAAGCTTTTCACAAGGTCCAAGGCTTCCTCATAATCAGGGGAATTTGCAGCCAAATCCTTGGTACTGATTTTCTTAAATGGTTTCTTACCTTTTCTTATAACATAGACCACGAGCTTGCTAAGGGCCTGCAAAGAAATAGATCGCTACTTAGGTGGGATATATGAAGCTTCTTGAAAAATGAAAGAAATTAATATTCCGAAATAAAATGTGTGCCTATGTAAATACACACAGGACTACTGGCATGCACAAGCACAAAAATATACATGAACACAGACATCTGTAAATCTGTGTRGACAAAGACAGGCATAGCAGGCCCCATAACTGTACTCACAGGGCTTGCTGTTAGACATCCTCACTACTGTCGTTCTTCTGTCTGTTGCGTTAAAGGCCTTCCCAAAAACCAAGGGTTTTTTTTTTTAGCTGAGGATGCAAAAAGCTTTCCCTTGGCATTTGCAAAGGGAAAAAAAAAAAAAAACCCTCAGGAATGGCCAGAAACTTGAAGCATACATTGATTCAGGGGGAAGTTACCTCTAGGTCTGTGTTTACAAGTTTCTTTTCGCCTTCAATCAACTTCAATCTTCGATTATCAAAATCCTCCAAGTAAATGTTGCCATTTAAATCTGAGGAAATAAGACACTGTTAACAAACAATATAGAACCCGAATAGAGCCTGTCACCGATTTCTGGATGGTTCCTTCTTTAAAAGGAGGTTGCAAATCTCTGCAGGGATCTATGGTAGGTTGGTCTACCTGTAAAGCCCTGGAACGGAAGGCAGACCTAGCGAGACAGGTAATGTTGTTCTATCCACTGCTCCATGTCTCTCTGGGAACACATCTACACTTAAACATGAGAGCTAATGCCAAACACTTATTCCACATAAAGATGTCTGCACATCTTCATATATATCTCCGTATCTATTTTACAGACAGCTATGAGATGCCTTCTCCTCTAAGGTGTAGGCAAAAACAAGAGCTGCRGAAAACAAGCTGTAGGACAAAAAGAGGAGAACACTGAGGAATTAAAAGATAACCTATCAAAAATTTGCTGGGACACAGATCCTGGTGAGCAAATCCTAGCAAGTGCAATTCGCTCACTGCCTGGAAGATCATCTTCAGAATGTCTTTGCAATCCATTCCCCCTTCTGATGCTTGCAAGTACTCTTCAAGGTTTTGCTCCCAGAGAGGGAAGCACAAATAGACCAAGCCTTTTGCCTTCTCGTGCTGAAAGACCTTCACTAGATGCTTGCTGTTGCCACACTGTTCAAAGAATCTTTTCTGTTTGTCAAACTCTGCATCACTGTAGTGGCCTATTGCTACAGCCACCTCTGTGTCACCATAGAGCCCTAGGTAGATGCTGCCTTGGGAAGTTTTCTGAATCTTATAGTAAATGTATTGAAATATCTTTAGTTTGCCAATCATGGGGCGATATATTTCATAAAGCTTTTTCAGGTGGTCCCTCCAGCGCTTGCTCTTGGGCTCCCAGTCTGTAGGTGGTTTCGGAACAAACTTGGCCTTGTGCTTCAGAAGCAGCTTTGTCAGATTCGAAGCACGTTTCCTATTTGCAATATCAATAAGGTTCCCAACATCAGTCCTTGCTCCTTTTTCACACAGCAGTTCTGCTATGCTGTAATTATTGTTAGTTACAGCTACCACCAGTGCTGTGTTGCCTTCATTATCTGCATCRTCAATATCTATTTCACCCTTCTCCAATAAAGCCTTCACCAAATCTAAGCTCTCCACTTCAGCAGCCAGGATGAGGGCAGTTTTCCCGTTTTCATCTCTGCTCTTCACATCAATGCCACAGGCAAGCAGGAACAGTGCTATAGAGACAGATGTCTCTGGTTTCTTTTGACTGTTCTTCCYGAGGGCATGTATTAAGGCATTTCTATCTTGGTTGTCACAGATGTTCAGATCAGCTTTCATGTCTTGGACCAGAGCTTTTACAACTGACATGTGGCCCTCCCTGCAAGCATCCATCAAGGCTGTTGCGCCTCCTTTATTGAGTTTCCTTCTTTCCTCACATACAACTCTCCCCATATTCACATCTGCCCCTTTGCTATGCAGGAATCTCAAGGCCCTCTCTTTCCCATACCACGCAGCCTCCATGAAAGCTGTGAATCCATTGTCATCGTGCTCATTAATGTCCGACCCATGAGCAAGAAACAGCTCCAGCAGCCTCACGCTTCCCTCCATTGCTGCCTCAATAAAGGCAGTGCCACCGTTGTCTTTTCTGGCATGCAGATCAGCACCCTTCTCCAGCAGAAAGAGGGCCAAGTCCTCATCCATATGCACRGCGCTCTGCAGTGGTGTCCAGCCTGCTTCTGCTCTGGAATTCACATTCGCCCCTTTCTCCAATAGTTCCTTTACATTTTCCATGTCATTGTTTTTCACAGCAGTGTGTAGTTTGGCATCAAGGTCATCTGGTGTCTTGGTGCTTGAAGAAGGTAATGCCCTCGATTGACTCCGAGTTGTGTGCTCCATAATTTTTAGAGGGAGGGCCTTGTAGGATCTCACTGAAGGATGAGGGAGGCAGAGCGCTCAGTGCCTTCTTTGGGTAGGGATGCTCTGTAGTTCGCTGATTGAATGCACTAGGTAAAGGCTCCCTGGTCTTCACCTAATTAAAGAGAATTATTGAACCATTAAATCTCCCCAGTTTCAGTTGATGTTAGGAAGATCTGTGTGAGGTGATATCAAAAATTGCAATGCCTGTATCAGTCAAGAGCACTACAGCCTGGAAAATCTTTGTCACTTACCCAAATATAGACCTTTATTACCTCTTATGATTTACTTTCAACACTACAAACATGCCTTCCCTGAGAACTGTGTGGGCCTGGGTATTTGGGCAATTCCACAAGAATGTCACAAAAGGACAGTAGAGAATCCAGGAAGTTCTTGCTGTAAAAGCTATGCCGACTATGAGTCACCCCAGCAGGTCAGCAGGGTTTTCAATTCCTTGGTGAAAAAAAATCAGTAGACATTCAGAGGCTGGCATCTCCTTCCGCTTTGGATGGAAAGCACAAAAAGGGACCTGTAAAGGCCCTGGTCTCATATCTGGAATAGCCACTGAATCCACCCTAAACCTTTCCCACCTCCAAATGTAATTAGGAGACCTGATCTGAGCAGAAACATTTCTGAATGTCTTTAACAGTAAGAGATAAGTCTGGTAGGACTTCAAGCATCTGGAAAAGTCAGAGCTCTGAAATCCTTTTGCTGACTGTGAAGGGTGACTGAAGTTCTTTAGTGCCCATAAGCAGCACTTCCTGGAGTCACAGTGTGACAGGATCAACAAGGAAATCATTTACCTGAACAAGTCAGATTATGTACAGAGAAATCTTAAATTAGAAAGCCAATGCACTTGAATTTGGAAAGTCACAGAAGCCCTATTTTAGATTTTGGGTCATTCCCATCCCTCCCGCCCCTTAAAAGTGGGAGATAAATATGACATTGCATTGATTCGAGCCTCGCTGAATCAAGGGGACCAAGGGGACCAAGGGACCAAATGCAGGGTACAAAGGATGAACCGAGTRGCGCTCACATCCTCACTCACCTGTGCGGAAGTCAGTGGCAGYGCTGGCAGCAAGACTGCGATGCTGGCCCAAAGCCAGTGAAAGCCCTCGTGTTGGAGACTCTCCTGTGTGTCACCACACAAGTGCCACCGGCTGCGGGCCTGCAAGCACYGGCGTGGGGCTGGGATTCCGCATGAGCAGAGACGTGGGTCTGTCCTCTCCACTGCCTCCTCCTCCAGGCAGCRGGGCTGGAGGCTGCGAGTCCGCTGCCCTCGGAAGTGTTTTGCATCCCCCGCCCCTGGCTTTGATCCAGCATTTTCACACTTCCGTCACCGGCTTCTAGGCAAAGCGCTTAGACACGTAACCCAGCCCACAAGCTGGGTGGGTGATCCTCTCCAGGATCTGCCCTGGGGAGGCAGGGAAGCTGCCCTCCACCCATCCAGGAACCCCATGTGTGTCTACATTGCTTTTGAGAGCTCCGTAAGTGCAGCGCAAGCGGCTTCCACTCCCGCGTGGGCAGGTCTGTGGAGCCCATTCCTCCAACCCTCCCCTCCTGCAGGCAAATCACCCACTGAGATGCATCAACAGACTCAGCAACTGAGGCACAAGGAGGCTGCCAGCCCACTTCACCCACCCAGTAAGGAGGGGTGAGTCAACCAGCCTGTGGATCTGATGCACCCTATGGCAAGTAGGGGCTCCACAGGTACATGCACATACTGAGCTGTGCCAGGTGCAATCTCAGACCACACTTAAAATGGGGTTGAAACCACGTCGCACCTGGCTTTCCACCACTGATGCATGCACAAACTCACAAGTTGCACATTGACTATGTACACAAAGGCACAGCCAGATACAAGCACAGAGAAACTCGAGGACATGAATGCAGAAGAACATGCTCGCAAGGGTGATATGGATGCTTCGACACAGCTCTGCAGGTGGATTATACATGCATACCCAAACTTTCCTGCACACGGGCACAGTTTGCACATACCTTTATGCCAACACATGCACAAATACTCGGAAAAGCTCCACCTTTGCAGGAGTCACATCTTTTATGGTAACCATCTTATTATGTGTTCACCCTTTCACAGCACATGGAGCATCTCTGAAGCTTGGCAAGTCCCACAGTCAGAAGTAGCCCACCCCACAGAAATCATGTTGCCACAGGGGACCTTTAYACAGCTTCACAGACAAAGACCTTGAAAACTGGGGACAATCATAAATCATGCCAGAGTGACAAAATCCCATTTTTACTCACAGAAGTTTGCTGAACTCAACAGCATCTGAGTTTGTTAGATAACTACAAACTAGATTCTGTCATGGCCCTTGTTGTTTCTGTGCTAGTGACTCTTGGCCAGCAGAATGTGCAATGTGGCCTTTCTATTAGAAGAAAAAGCTGTCATGGATTTTGGGTCTGTCTGTAGAACCAGGACTCCATCCTCTATTGCCAGAGCAGAAACCTGGGCAACACCTCTTGCCTGATGGCTTTGATGGCATTGTGTTCCCAATATGACACTGAGTTTTATTGCTGAAGGTTATCTGCTTGGATGTCCTTCATATTGCAGCATTGTGAAGCCCCYGAGCCTTTTCAGAAGAATCACAAGAGTTGCATTTGGTTCAGAGGACACTGTTGAAGTCCTTCATCTGAACACCGTGGAGAGATCCTTGCATTCTGTCAGTAAAGAAAGACAGAGTTACAACACGGAGTACAGAATCACTGAATCACAGAATCGCGGAATGGTTGAGATTGGAAGGGACCTACAGAGATCATCTAGTCCAGTCTCCCTGCTCCAGCAGGGACATCCAGAGCACAGGGTCACATCCAGGTGGGTTTGGAAGACCTCTGGAGAAGGAGACTCCACAGCCTCCCTAGGCAGCCTGTTCCAAGGCTCTGTCACCCTCACAGTAAAGAAGAACCTCCTCACATGGAGATGGAACTTCTTGTGTTTCAACTTATACTCATTGCCCCTTGCCCTATCATTGGCCACCACTGAGAAGAATTTGGCCCCTTCCTCCCTACATTCACCCTTCAGGTACTTATACATATTGATCAGATCTCCTCTCAGTCTTCTCTTCTCCAGAGAAAACAGGCCCAACTCAGTCTCTCCTCATATGAGAGATGTTCCATTCCCTTAGTCATCTTTATTGCTCTCTGCTGGACCYCCTCTAGGAGCTCCACGTYCCTCTTATACTGGGGAGCCCAGAACTGCCACAATACTCCAGGTACAACCTCACCAGAGCTGAGTAGAGGGGCAGGATCCCCTCCCTCGACCTGCTGGCAGCATCCTCCTGATGCAGGCCAGGACGTACCATGCCATACACACCATGCCACACAGCCAACCAAATAGAAAAGACCTCTTTAACTTGCTGGTTTAATGAAGGCAGTTAATTATCCTACATTGAAAAGATGTWAGGAATCCCATTCTGAAAGAGTCTCACCGTGAGAATTTGTTACCCACAAAATAAAACATGTATAAATAAGAGCACTGCAGGAGCAAAAACTGAGCAAGTGTAAGCTGCTCAAATGAACAGACTGCAATGCAAACGTGCTGTGTGTTTTATAGAGTGGAGKTGTGGTAGTAGTAGGACAAAGGGAAAAACTCACCAAGGCAAGGAAGCCTGTTTGGTCCCTCACAAGGGRCAACAGTGACCAGCCAAGAGATGGGAAAAGTGCTGGTGGTTACTAAACATAGAGGAGCTGACTGCACTGGTGAAGCACAATCCAACACCACAGATAGGATTTCCTAAATCTAGGCCAATATCAGACACAGGTAGGAGAAACCATACCTTTGCAACCACAGGGCTGTGACAGACACATACTGCTCTTCAYACCAGCAGGGGAGGCCTCTCTGTAACAGTCTTGCTCCGTGGTCTGCACATAGGACCAAAATGTTCTCCAGAGGCACACACAGCTCTAAGCTCAAACTCTTGATCTGTGTGCTCGGTAGTTTCTGAGGAGTAGAAAAGCTTAAAGTGTTATCTAAAGTATAAGAACCACAGCGGCCCCCACTACAACCACCCCTGCAGCCTCTGGGCTGTTGTAGTTCCTGCTGTATTTGCACTTCTGCAGGAAGTCTTTATCCACCTCCATGCACCTAAAGGCTCAGAGCTGAGTTGCAGAGAGGCAATGATCAGGAAAACCAAGTACATTGTGCTGCAAAACCCTTTTTTCCTCTTCACTGATGGACCTGCGCCCATTTTGCACCCTTTCCCTTGGGATGCCACCGCCTAATGTTCAAGTACTGGCCACCAGCCACAAACATATATGAGGCTTCTGGGCTAAAAATATAACAATAAAAACTGCCTGCCAAAATCCAAACAATTTTTAAAGAGTCCCTGAATAGTAAGATCATATTTTTCCTTCATGTTCCTAGCACTGTCCTCCTTWTTATATTAGGAAGCAGGAATTCCCAAGGCTTAGATGCTCAGTCACATTGATGCAACTTGCAGTGCTAGAATAAACCTCTGGAAAAGGATCAGCACAAGAATAGGCACTCAGCACTTATAGGTACAGTTGCAAATACAGGAACCACCTGTCAGGTTGCACTTTGCATCATTACAGTTTTATCTGTACTTTTTTAGCTTTCTGGGCTACTGTTCAGATCCAAGGAGGAAAAAAAGACAGCAAAAGCAAGCCCCAGCTCTTTGAAAAGCACCCACATCCAACCAAGATAGGGCAAACAAGCAAGATTGTCGTGGTCTTGGATGTAAATACATCTCCAGAGCAAAGGAGTTGGTGCTGGACCACATCTCCCCAAGCTGTTCCTTACCCGCTCTTTTCCCAGCAGGCTGGTCCCCAGCTACAGCTGCACCACGTCGTGCCGGCCGGGCACGATTTTCCTGGGCTTCCTCGTCCAGTTTTCCCCTTGGGAAGCTGGTCAGGCTTGGGAGAGGGAGCTGTGCTGCAAACGTGATGCTACCGCATTAGCTGTAAYGAGCAGAGTGCTAAAACATAGCCGGGGCATCCGTTCCGAGGTGTGTTGCCTCCAGGAGAATTGCAGCCCCATGCTTCCTTCTAAGGACATCTCAAATCCTCCACCTCTCAAAAAGATTTTAATTCCTAACTAAATCTTTTTTTTTTTTTGGTTGTTTGCTCCACTTACATCACTTACATTTCTTTTATGGACAAGCAGGTTTAAATTAACTTCAAGCTCTGCCAGAATAAAGAACCTTTTGCTTTTCTTTTTAGTTAGAAG